TCAGTTTGATGAGGTATTCATGACGATCTAAAGTTGTCGCCTAAGCCTTATTACGTACTGCAGTGTATCAGAATAACTGAGGTTTTGTTTTTATGTTAACAATGCAAATGACCATCTGGTTCGGAACTATGGCTAAAAACTTTAAAAACTTTCCATTTAAAAAAATTAGTATAACTTAAAATTAATCAATTTATCGTAAAATAAGTATATAATTCCCACTCTAGTTTATCTCGCACACCAAAGTTGATTTGAATTTTTGTATATATTTTATTTTCCTTCGCTGTACGAAAGTTTTTAATGCCGAATTTGGAATTGAAATATTTTTCGCTATATATTAAGGGCATTATTAATTGCATTCAGACACAAAATCGTGAGTTAACAATGAATATTAGTGCATTATTTTTAGAGCTTTCTGTTCTCATAGGTAGTTAAATAACGGAATACTACAGTATTTGTAACACTTTTTGAATTCGCATTAAGTTATATTCTCGCACTAAACTCCGCGGAGTTTTTTCCAGGGTCGTTTCAGCTAAGTTGATGTTGCAATAATTTCCTCATGTTCAAGAAGACAAATTTAATTTGAAGACTGATGCTCGAAAAGTCATTAAGATGAGGCTAATTGACCCAATTAAGTCATTGATTACTTGCAGCATTAATCAGATCTTGTGTTAAGAAATCGTAACCGTGATTATTTATGGATATTTGTCAAAGTTTTAGTGGGTGCATGTTTGAAGCCTGGAACTATTAATACATTTAAATGACGCTGCCGAGGTCCATTCCGTAAATAAATAAATATGAAAATAAAGTGGCCAATGGCCCCAGACATTAACGTTGGATGACAAATCTCTTTCTACTTAAAGAAGGATAAATAAAACTGAACATCAATGAATTAATTTTAAAGACATATCTTCAGGTACAAAAGCAGATATACAAACTGTGCGTTTCTTTAGGCTAGCTATCGGAATTGAAAGAAAATTTTTTAAGTCTTTATTTTGGAGCCTTTCTGCACACACAAAAATGAGAACATAAATTAAAAATAAACTAATAAATAAACTAATCGAAGCAAAAAATATTGCACGGATCACACACGAATATTAAAGAAACAATATAACTACCTTGCTGGGACCTGGTGACTACACAGAGGCTAGTGCCTCCATTACACTCGCTTCTCTTCACTAACGCACTGTTGACTCATCAATAATAACATGATCTGGTGGTACTTTTATTTATTTCTTGTATTCAAAACGTAAGAAAATTATAAGTTAACGTTTGAAAGTAAGCAACATTATGTAGAATCAAAGATTGCTTATCACGAGTGAAAAGTTCTTATTAATATTAGTTATAAATTTTGACTAGATACTAACCTGTTCACTCAGTGGCAACTATTCATTATTCGAGTAACAGATTTATCGAGTGTTATCTGTTTTATAAGTCATTTTACTAATAATATCTAAAGGTTTCCATTGCTAACATTCTTATTCCTTCTATATGTTTTTCCAAACAGAATCTATAATATCTTCTATCTAAACAAATTAATTAATTTGTTTTATCTTCGGCATGCCTAATATAGTACTCTCTCATCATATCGAAGTTTTCATGACTTATTAATCACGAACAACTGAGGGTTGATAAATAATTGAATGTAAATTAAAAATTCAGACGGTTCTAACTCTAAGTCGATTAAACAGAATGCAGCAAAACATATTCATCATAAATACAGTTTGTTCAGGTTAATTTGATTTACACAAAAGAAAGATTCAAGAAACTACGGTAACCATTAATTTTGGTTGGAACTTTCCATGCGATCGATAATAATTAAAACTTCACAGCAAGATTCTTGCGTTTTTATAAGAATATAATTAATTAACTCCTTCATATCACTAGATTGATAGGCTTTAATATGAAAAAAAATGCGGTCTAGTGAATGTATTTTTTTTTTGCGAATGAACGAAACTTATCAAAGAATATTAAAGGATTGATAATTTCGGGCTTTAATATTTATTAGGGTTTAAGTGAAAAGAAGCAGGATTTAACACCTCATCACCGCCTGCTCCGTGCCTACAAAGATAATGTGGCCTACCTGAAGTACTACAAAATCCTTCGGTTAATCGCTGGTGAAGAGCTGGATCTTGGAGCTGGTCCACGCCCGCGCAGAGGTAAGTTGCCGGGGCCGATGTAGCGGTCGCAGCTAGAGCGCCTGGGGTGCCTCCGAGGGTTGGTTCCGGTGCAGACGACATCCACTCTAGCACGTGCCCACGTATGTCCCGACCATGCTTAAGCTAAGCTTCCATGCAACTCTTTTCTTCATGAGTCCAAAGGTAAACCGGGGCCGAAGATTCTTCATAAGTTCCGTACAATATGACTTGATGTGTCGACAGATACGGTAAAATTGAATCCAGCACGAATCTACGACAGCACCCTTAGAGTTGCCGCTATGAGGACAGGCAACGAACTGGCGAAGACTCTTCAGAGAAGAGCGAAGTAAAGTAGGGGGCGAGATGTTAGTTTCACGTTGAATGTGCACACTAAAACTGCTTCCAACGTCACCCAAATCATTTGAGGCACAGAGCAGGTTAGGATGCTTAATTTATGCCCGAAATTTATCAGAAATTAAAACTAAATCATACATTTTTTGTTTACAAGTATGCCTTGAAGCACAAGTAAAGCATGTAGCACAAATAAAGTATGTATTACGGACTGTTGAATCGAACCGATGAATCCATCAATAGAAGCGTTTCTTAAATTTTTAAATTCCAATGGTTGTGGAATTTCAACTAGAAATTTCCCCCCTAAACCATGAAATGTATTCAGTTGACACCGACGAAAATGCAATATGAGTTACACGAGTGTTAGTTAAGTCATTCCTAAATTCCATTTAATTCCAATAACTGTAGAAATTCAATTAGAAATTCCTTAACCTAGAAAATTCTTTCAATCAACAAATACAAAAATACTGCACGAACTTCTCTAGGGATAGTTCATTCGTTTTAGAATTCCATTAATTTCCAAAAACCGTTTGAATTCGACTCGAAATTATTCAAGCCTATGAAATACTTTCACTCCATAACGGGAAAATTTTGTATGATTTTTTTCTCGAACGTCAGTTCAATCGATTCTGAAATTCATCTATGTCAAAAAAATACGGTAATTCATCTCAAAATTTACCACTAACTCAAAAAATGCAGTCACTTGATAACGCCAAAAATGCTCAATTAATTTCAAATGTGTCAGTTTAGTCATGGTACTAAAATTACGTTCTATTATTGAGCTGTAATTGGAGCAAGAAAATCTATACATAAACCATAAATAAAAAAAAAGTTTAAGCTCAATTATGATTAATACCATATTCGGATCATGAATACATTTTACATAATTACATTTTATATAATTTCTATTAAAACTTTATGTAACCATAAAAAAAATTTTTGAATAAAATGAATATAATAAAAAATTATGATCTAAATCATCGCTTATTATTATTTAGACCTTAAGACCTAATTCTTATCCCATTGTCATCAAACATTTAATTTTATATCATTTCTTAATAGAATAGAAACCGAAGCAAAAAATCTTTAAAGCATGATTATCTCTCAATCACAGTCCACACTCGTGCGCAAAATGTTTAAACATGTTTGTTGTTTGTATCTCGTTCAAAATGTGCACTTATAAGCAACGTGCCCATAATTGATTTGCCTCTCGATCAAAGTTTGCACATGTACGGGCCTAAATTCTTTGTTTTGCATAATGCAAAACAAAGCTTTTGCCCAGCTTTTGATAAGTACCCGAGATTATGGTTCCAGAGGACTCGAATATTCCTCATTATGAATACTCGGTTCGTTGTGAAGAAGAAAAAAAGATCCAATAAATAAGTTCTATGCTCAAGACCAGACAAATTTTAAATATTTAATTTTGACAAACGTTATGTAGGAATTAATTCATTATTAAACGCCATAATTTAATGAATTAATTGAATCATTGATCGTTCGACGAGCGCGGTAAAGTGATCGGCATCTTATGATGAACTGGTCTGGCACGAGGCACAAAATTTCGCTTATATTTGACTTCATTAACAATTGTTCGAAATGATTATATTCCACTCAATCAAACGGTACTCTTATCGGCAGAATATTTCAATTCGCAATTGCTTAAATTCATGGAGTTTAATGTATGAGGTATTGGCACGGTGAAATTTCGTATGGCGATATTTTAATTCCAGATTAAAGCTAAGTGGCACTCAAACGACTCAAGACTCTGTTTAAGATAATGTATGCTGATTCATAAATATAAATAAAAGCTTTATGAAGGCTTAAAGAGAAGATTTTGACTATAATGTAATCGGTTTGAACGGAAGGACCTAAGACTGAAGTAGTGTATTTGTGAATGCTTTCATCATGTCTTTCATCATAGCTTTCATGTTTAAATCATTATAATCCTTATATCATCTATCAGTCATTAATATCATTATATCATAATGGCGACTAATATCCTACATCTCAATGATCTAATCATAACGAATAACATCTTGCATTTCTCAATGATGAACAACATAATCCATGAGCCAGTATAAGTATGAAAGAAGTTAGGATGTTTTTCCTTAATCTCATTTCTTCTAAAACTGCCATTGATGGCAAATTAGAAAACAATTCGCATTCTCACTCTTGGAGAACCCCTCGAGCCCAGGGAGCCTAAGGGAGCCTGATGGAACTCGAGGGAGCCTGAGGGAGCCTGATGGAGCCTGAAGGAGCCCGATGGAGCCTGAGGGAGCCTGAGCTAGGGAGCCTGGGGAAGCCTGAGGGAGCCTGAGCTAGGGAGCCTGAGGGAGCCTGAGGGAGTCTGAGCTAGGGAACCTGAGGGAGCCTGAGGGAGCCTATATGGGGGAGGAAGTTGTACGAAGGTTACCATGGACGAGTTACCAAGAGATGGGTTAATACGGTGCCTATGGTAGCAAGGGTAATAACAGGACAATAAGTAAATCTGGTAGTTTATTCTGGTAGGTGAGTGAGAGACTTGAATTAATTATGAGAACTGAGGTGATTGCGAGAATTGTATCGGGTAAGAACCGTGCGAGTAAATAGGGTGTTAATGGAGTATAGACGAGATCGTGTAAAATAAATGTGTACAGGTAAGATTCAGTGATTTAATTAATTAATTAATTTTATCACAACACATGAGAAAACAGCCGTAGTGCATTAGCAGCAAGTAAAGGAAATTTCGGGGTATAAATTGGATGGTGATAATAGCGATCAAGACTAAAAAGCAATCACTGAGTCTCGTGGCTTTTTGAAGCACGTAACTTCAATATTTAGAGAGCAGCGATCAAGACTCATACAAGCACTGTGACATTTGAATTACGTAGCTTATAAATCTAGAGAGCCTCAAGAGCAAACAGTGTTGGTCGGGTAGTCTTTTGAAGTACGTAGCTTTAATATCTAAATGTCATAGATTCTAGAGCGTATACTGTGTAGTGTGTAGGTCAAGAAGCCACATAGGTCCTGAAATGTTATCAGACGTGACCGAAATTCCGATGCTCCAAAATATTTGAGATGCGATGCTATATGGTTTGCTTCTTATGATTTGAAATGCGGTGCTATATCCTCCGTTTAAAGGTCATACTTAACTCTATGACAAACATGATTTCCATTCTTGTGTGCTTTGATACAGTCTTAGGCAATGAACGGGGAAAAAGGGCAATCCGACATTTTATGGGCATTCGAAGTACAACTTATGTTGAACACAGCACATTGTATTTAAGGTTTGTCTTCATTCCTGTACGCAGGATCACGTTTTTCTCAGAGAGCATCGTTGCAGGTCCATCAACATAGTAGGGAGTTTTTACATCATTTGTATTTGATGCACAGTTGGATATGTCGCTGCCGTCAGGCCAGGTGAAGGGGAGAGACAAGTTTGTTTCATTGCCAGTCGCACTCAACCAGGCAACTTTGTCCAAATTTGGAGAAGCTTTTATCGTGTAATCTGTTGACATGTACACCATGAAAACAATTCGAATTTCATTAAAATGTTTTTAAACAATCTATTTGAAGTTTAATTTCAAGGAAAAAAGCATAAGTTTATGTTTTTTGTATGTCTTAACTTTCAGCAACTCAGTTCGTTTAGAATAATTCTAGGTGTGTCGAACCTTCTCTGCTGGCTCCAATACTTTAGAATATCCAAAAATATCTAGTCAATGGAAAGTGATGTTTTGAAAATAATTATCCATCGATGATTCGAACCACGATTTTCACCAAATAATTCCAAAATACAAGTAAGTATATGGCTTTAATTAGCTAGTTTTCATATAGCTTCCTAATTAACTATTAGGCTATTATTATTACCTATTAAGTCATCCCTCAGCTCGCCTCTCTATAAAGATATGAATTTTTGTGGATTTTTCTTTGCTTTTAAATTCTTAGTTTATTTGCGATTTAAGCAAACAAGTGATATAAATTATTTACTTGTTTAATTTTTTAAAATTGATAATTACTTGTTTAAACAAACAAGTGATATGACAAACAAGTCATTCCGAAGCGTACAAGATGTATTAAGTTACTTTGTAATTGGTCGTGCTTTCATTTCTATATAATTCGTGAATTTGTATGTACAAATAAATCTCACCCTTGACGAGTTGCACTGCCTTGTCTCTGACTTGCTTGGTCTTGATGACGAGAGGCTCGCCGCCTTCTGCCCTGCAGAGACGCCGCTGGTTCGCCAGAGACCCGTCGTTCGAGAGAGCGGTGGTGATGAACACGTCTCTCATTACCGGGCCTGAAATTGGTTCAAAGATTTCTCAAATATATTTTTCTGCCCTGTCCAAAATTATCTGTTATTCATCAAACTTATCAAGTAAATTAAGATGAGGGAATTACGTTGATAATCTCTCATTACTGTCATTTCAATTCATATGGTTATTTGTGCTGAGAACTACGGTGGGTTCACATATTTACACGCACTCAATACCAACTTATGAATATTGTTATTTGTTGGTTGGGAAGTGGCCAATTTAAATACCTTCACACTAAATTCTTATACAGTCTTCTCAGACAAAATTAATATTTCAGTTGAAATTATAAATTGCGCTAATAATTCATTGCTAATCATTCAGAATTCACGCACCATACTTGAAGAGACCAATAACGCCGGTTGTGTTCTGTACTTTTGTCTCGCACTGACTGACGTACGTGAGGTTGCACGTAGACGAGGGCTTATCATACGTCGCTGCCGTGCACTGCGGCTGTACGAGGCACTTGGTACGACAAGCGCCTGGAATTTGTTCTCATTTTATAATATTGATTTGCGCGTTCAATGGTGTGTAGTCAACTGTTTAGTGTCATATGCATGGTATTTTTGCAATATTTCTGAATTTTAACTTGAGCAGCAGCTATGGGCATGCACTCAAAGACTTTTAGATGCCTGAATAGAAATACCTGAAGTCAAGAATAATTTGTGATGCTAAATGTGAAAGACTTTTTACCTTTTGGAAAAAGCTATATTTAGCTTTGGAATTATTGCATTTAATGTTATTTTCTTGAGTCAACCAATAAAAGATCCACAGTTTGAAAATCTGAAATTAGAAGCTCATTCACTTGAAATTAATATATACAAATACGTATTAAATGAAAAAAGGTCTACATTACCACCTCAGATATAAATTCTGTATTATCTGTCGGAGTCTCAAAATAAAACCAGAAGCTAATAAAGAAATTTTGGTAAATATTCGATCAATTTATACATAAAACTATACAAAACTACCTCCATTATTTCACTACACAAACTACTCAGCCTCGTAACTCGACCCACATAACTCACACAAAGTGTCGCCTTTGAACGACACGTTGGGCGCGATGATGTCGATGTCTTTCATCACCACCTTGAAGGCGGGATACTCTCCAGCTGCCACCAGCTGCAGCAGCTGCACGAGCAGCAAGGCGGTCCAGTTCATTCTTGCAGCTCTATCAGATATGCTGTAATGGAAAAAATAATGTTAACTAGTTGAAGTGCCAGCCTTTATAACCCATAATAGTTGAGAATCCCTCATGAAAGCATCTTTATTANAATATAATATAATATAATATAATATAATATAATATAATATAATATAATATAATATAATATAATATAATATAATATAATATGATATAATAATTGCAATAATAAGTAAACAAGCGAATAAACAATAAATCATTATTACATCAAACTCGTGCAATGTGTGATAGTGGCTGCGACATTGACTACTGATAATTATAAAAGTGTATGGGCTATTATATATTATATATAAACTTTTTCCATTACCTGGATCTGAAATTTATCTTATTTTGGATTTGAATGGTTGGATATTGAAAAATTAATATATAAGTTTAGAATTGAAATTTCAGATTCATGAAATTTGAATTTGAACGTAAGATATGAAGATGGTAATTCAATCAATAAATCACAATTTGCACTAAAGAATTGTTTTCAGTGTAACGAATTAGTGCAAAACAGTACAAAAACCTAGTGACCGTTGGCGTCGAGTGAGCGCCAGTCGAGAACTGAGAACCTTCGTATTCATTCCATCACAAACTGCGCTCAGTGCAGAGTTTCCTTCAGTATGCATATGCTGTCATGGTAAAAGAACGATAGAATAAACTTAGTGGTTTACTTTGCAAATAATTCAGAGGCTTAATTAAGGCTCGCTATATTTAAAGAGCGTTACAACTAACAATTGAGCCTTGCTGAAGTTGAAGAACAAACGACGTATAAAAAATGCCCAAGTAATTTATTCGTCCAGTGTGGGTCTAATACACTATTGGCATCTTGAATTCTATTTAATTATTCAGGTTAATAGTTTTTATTCTTCTAGTGCTGGCAGTTGTGTCGTTAGACATTTAGTTCCCTTGCATAGTTATTATTGTTAATGCTCACTCATTGAAATTATTGGGTAAGGTTAACTTCCATTACTGAGAAATAACGTAGTGATGTTTTCCACGTGCATTTACCACATGCATATAAAATAATATTTAAAGGGCCAATTATTACACAATTAGACATAACAATGCTGATTGTGTAATAATAAAAAAATAACAATAAAATATGTTCGTTACATATAAAAATAAATGAGACAATTTATATTTTGTACCAGGTGCAATATCAACAGGAGGGCAAAATATAATGTGAATTCAAATATTTGACACGCGTGCGGTACACGAACAGTAATGTCAGGTTTAATAAATTATCAAAATAATTTAATTAAAATCGTAATGATAAATGCCTGGCTGGAGAACCTCTGGAATGTCGTAGTCGATATGCACATATAACATGCATATCATTACTAAAACAGACATGAAAAACTGATTGAGCTGAGCACGATTGTAGTATGGTTATATGGTGTATGGATGGTATGGTTTTTTCAGTAATGCATTCATATATAAGTATGAATTAATGCAAGGCTTGTGAGAAAATCGAACAATTCGTCACGTGTCGAAATCATGTAAATATTGACAAGATCTAAGTGATCGTCTTGGAATAAATTCAATGTAAAGGCGAATAAAAGGTGGATTTAGGTGAAACTGAATATCATCTGCCATGTACATTTATGAAACTTACCTACATGTGTGTATGTGACATCCCTCCAACAGACTTTGACCGGCCGGCTTTACTAAATTGTTTTTATATCAATCCTCTGTACAGATTTCAATTCATATGAATAACAGTTAAATGGTAAATGTAATTTTTGTTCCCGGAAATGTTTTACTCGAAATATTTGTCTCTTATTAACTGATGCAAATCGAATCCATTTAAACTTTATTTTTGGACATACTCTACGGTTTTTGTAACTTATTAATGCAATATTTTTGACAAACCCCAGGTACAGATAGTTCCCGGGACACAATGTTGTGGTAGTAAGAGAAACATGTCGGGACACAATGTTGTGGAAGTGAGAAAAACATGTCGGGACACAATGTTGTGGTAGTGATAGAAACATGTCGGGACACAATGTTGTGGTAGTGACCAAGTTTGAGGTTACGAGATACAGTGGTACCGGCAGAGCTGGTATGGAGCGCCGGTTGAAGCGCCTGCATGGTCTGTACTCACTGCAGAGGAGACGGGAGAGGTATGTCATTCTCTACACATGGAAAATGATAACCGGAATGTCGCCACACTTTGAAAGTGAGACCTTCATGATTGAGACACATCATAACGAGAGAAAGGGAAGACTGAGCAGGATCCTCCCAATACTTAACAGATCTGCGGTCAGATTTCCTTAATTTTGTACGATGCTATTTGCTTATTTTCCTTATTTATGTACCCTGCTTGAGAAGTACCAAAATCTCTCTTCATGACCGCACTTAAACACAATAAAAAAATGCAAGTTCATTATCTCCCAAAAATGTTTTATCGTTTATGTTTTTTGTTTATTTAACACTTATATTTTTGGATTCTTAAATTTTTCGAAATAATTAAAAAGTTAGATCAAATTACATAATATTGAACATGATATTGGAAGAATTTAATAAAATTTATTGATTAAATTGAAATATTTGAAAAATTACGCATAATATTTGTACGGCAAAATAAAAAATTTACGTACAGTATGAATTTGTCCAAGAGCATTTTTTGTCTTCCGGTTTACATGTAAAATGTATATGTGCGAATTTTTCAAGTAAGGTTGATGAAAGTAAGTTCTCTTTTAAATATTGTTTTAATTTTGTGGCACAGCAGACAGATATCAATGCCGCTCGAATCAAATGGAAAAAGATGAGATAATCCTCCTTGTGATGCCATATAATTGTCTATAAAATAGTCTATAAAAAATATAAATAGTCTATAAAAAATATAAAATAGTATATATAAACATATATATACTATTTATATATAAAACACTTACACCAATGTATAAATGCAATTAACTGACGCTCGTGCAAGGAGGTACACATGAATTCATCAACATCAATAAAATTATTCAACTAATACGATAATGTATTATATAACAATATTATAAAAAGAAAGAACAATAAAGAAAAACAACGAATAACCGCTAGAACCGCTGTGTTCCAACACACGTGTTCTGATCAAAGCTCTTCCTTGAGTGGCACGTCGTTTAGTGTCGACTTGAAGGTTTTCCAGAGCGCAGTATAAAAACTGTCATTTATCCAACCCTGAACTCAAAGTGCACTTAGTGAATGCAAGAGATTCCAGGTTACATCTTTTACCGCAAAGTGCTGTGAATGCTTTCCATCAGCAATACAGACGTTCCGTGTACCATTAGCTATAAATTGAATTTTATTTCAAAATATTCCCGTTTTTTAGATGATGACAAGCATGAGGTTTGTATTATTTCAAATAGAAGACATATGCTTTTTCTATAGAAATGATTCTTACTGCCTGATTATTGAGTTCACTTATTCGTTACTTTTTTCACAAAATCTTCCAATTCTTAATGATATTTTTGTTTCTTTAATTAGATAATGTATATATTTTTAATGTATTTTGTCCGTTGACGAGCATCTAGAAAAGCAGAAAAGAGAAACGCAAGCAAATTTCTTCGATTTGTTCTTTCGTTATCATTTACCAGGTGTGATGTTATTTGTTAGCTAAATGTTGTTATTAGCTTTGGCTGCCTTTGGAGCTTTCAACTATAAAATGATAGAATTAAATTATTTTAGTAGCATTTGCTCTGGAAGGATTCTCTCAACATAAAAATGAATTCACAAATTCTAATTCCAAATTACACTGCTAGGGGCGCATTCCAACGAAAATAAAAAATAAAGCCGTCTTAGCCTTTGCCTTATTCAGCCAAGTGATCGAATAGGTCTAACCATTAGCTACAGTGAGAAAAAATTTTTTTTGAGAATATTTATTGGTAAATATGAACACTGAAATATGATTAGGACTAATGCTGAGATGACGACTTGAATTGGTACTATTACTGAGACTCCTGAAAATGAATACACAAACATGAATAAATACCTAATAAAGAATCGACTCGAACATAAATGTTGTACCGTAATCAGAAGCATCAAAATATAACCATTAAAAATGAGTTAAATATTTTACAAATTATACATGCATGACAAACGACAGTAAACTTAACATCCGTTGTTTCCGCTGTTCCTATTTACACAAGACGTTCCTAATACTTTTTTGTTCGACGGCAG